CAAGGTTCAGGATTGTATCTTCTTTATCTTTGTAAACCCTACAGTGCTAGGATACTTTCTGTGGTTGATAAACTTTTCCAGAATTGAAAGACGCCAATAGGCTGAGTTTGCATTCCTTAACTAGGTAATTCCCTAACAGGCAACCTGGAAGTACTTATTCCACCCTTTTTTCACCCTGGAGTTTTGATGATGCTTCTTGGAGACCAGAGCACAGACTTCATAGCAGGGGCCACAAAACAGAGCTGCATGAGTCTCCCTCAGTTTGCATACATTTTCTTAGTCCGAGATGGATTTAGATTTACCATGGCGTTAATGAAGATTAAGCTTCAGGGTTCCCCCCAACCCCTCCCGCTTGTACTGGCACTGTGGATGCTGGGAATAGCTTGGAGTTCTAGTGAGTTTCAGGTGGGAAGAGGAAGCCAGAATGCAATTAGGAAACATGTCTGGGCATTCCCATTTCTGGGCAGTTGACTGAAGGATCTTATGAGAAAGGAAATGAATCATCCATGCTCCAGTTCATTGTACTTTGATTTACCATTCTAAGTCAACGGTCACACTACACTACCCATCACATTTCTAATTTTGCACTTGTTTTGTGAAAGGCCCCCAGTTGTATAAGGCTCAGGTCCCACAACCTGGATCTGCTTCTGGTTAACTCATACTGTGTCTTAAAACTTACTTTTAAATTAAATTATGGACAGTTGCTCGTATCTTTTAAAGTCAATACATTGAACACTATAACCTGGATTTCCAGTGTGTTTGGACAACCCCTGGAGGGAACGGTGAGTGTCTGTTGTCCCTCCCAAAAGGCTACAGTCAGCCGTAGCCAGGTTGTGGCTGGCCCAGGCAGTTGAGCTGCGTGCTAAGAGTTTGCTGTGTACACCCTCTCCCCACCAGGTTTTCTCTAACTCTGGTCCTCTCATCTGAGTCTGCAAATCTGTCTCTTTATATCTACCAGGGCACTTGCCAAAGTGACTTACAAAGATCCCTCAGTACATTACCAATGAATGGGTGAAAGAGAAACAAATGTTCCCCTGAACACATGAAAGAAAAAAGAGAAGAAATGCTCATCATGACATGTGAAAGAAAAAAGAGAAACAGATGAGAGGTGGTACCAGGAACAGGCACTTAGGACTGAAAGATGGAGAGACCCAAGGAGATGGTGATGACCTTGGGTGGGGTGAGCATCTTGTGCTTAGAAAGGGAGAGCTGGAGGCTCTAAGGGCAACAGAGGTAAGCTGTCTATCCCTCAGCTCACTGCCCCCTGCTCTATCACCTCGTAGCTGACCTCATGCTGACCCGCAAGAAAGTCCACAAGGGGTCAGAGTTCAAGCTGACAACCCTGAACTGTGCTACAGACACACCTACATACAGCATCACTGCCAGTTGGTGGAAGGCCAAGGATCACAGCTGTGGAAGGCAGAATTCTCAAGTCACCCTCAATGATTTACACCCCTGTATAACCCTTTAGTATGGAATGGGCTGCCAAAGGAGACACTGGACACTATGCTGACTAGGTGGTGTTATATGGCTGAAGTAAAGAGATTTTACAGGTATCTTTAGGTTCCTAATTAGCATGATTTGAGTTAATCAAACAGGAGATAATCCTGGGTGAGTCTGACTAATCAGATGAGCCCTTTAAAAGAGACTTTCCCAAGGCAGATTCTCTAGCTGGCCCTGAGAAAGCAGCCATGATGGGCTCTAGAGCTGCAGGGAGCTGAATTCTTCCAACAGCTAGTGAGCTGGGAAGAGTACTCTAAGCCTTTGATGGGACCACAGTCCCAGCCAACACCTTGATTGCAACTTTGTGAGATCCTGAGCAGAGGATCGGCTAAGTCAAGCCCTGAACCCTGGCCCATGGGAAAATAAGTGTGTGTGCTGTCTTAGGCTGGTAATTTGTTAAACAGCCAGAGATAACTGATGGCAAAAGAAAGGAAAGCCATAACAAAAGAGAAAGTACCAGGACTGCTTGAAATCAGTAAAAACAGTTGGAGGTAAGAAGAGGGTAAAGAGAGGAACTTTAGATGTGCCAAGAATTATTTTGGGCACTCCAAACGTGTTATTTCATTGAAATTTTCCAACTTTTCTGGAGAGCATTCTAACTCCATTTTACATGAAGATTCTCAGTGTCTCACAGAACTTTAATAACTCACTCCAGGTCACTGTGGTAGCTGATACTCAAATGAAATCCCCCCTGCTGCTAGAAGCTCCTGTGTTTCCCTACATCACAACCAGGCCTCAGGAGAGAAGGTCACAGGGTAGCAAGGCAGACAAGTGCTGCCGAGGTGATCAGTCAGATGTAGGACAGAGCCTGGTGGCCTGCTCTCACACGGGCCTGCTGCTCCCAATGTACCTCAGGCCGTGCTGTTCCCCTTGGGAAAACCCTCATCAAATCCCAGTAGAAAATTTTTTTTCTCAAAAAATGCCTGCATAGAGAGGGAGAAGGATGAGCTTCTATATGAGCATATTTATATCCATGGATATTCCATGCCATAGGGGGTATAAATCCCAGAGGTCAGCTCCACAGTATGATGGGAAAATTGAGGAAGGCTAAGATTACCAGCATTTCCCAAATACACTGAAAAAAGAAACTTGCTTCCCTACACACACACACACACACACACACACACACACACACACTTGCAGACATGCAGGCCATCAGAGGAAAAACAATTAACTCCTGTCCAACTCATCTAGGTCATGGAGACCCTCATATTCAATGCTGGCTTCAGCTGTTTTTATCACAACTTTCACTAAGAAAACAATTTTCTGCCAAGCTGCCTTCTTCTCATCTCCACAGTCCTCAGGATAACAATCTGTTTGGATTTCTTTTGTTTTTAAAGTTGCTCAAAATAGTTTTTTTCTCTACTCAGATAATTCAGCACTGTTCTTCATCCCACCAGTCTCTTCCCCATCCAAGACCTCCCTGCGGCGGGCATTTCCAAGCTTGCCAGGGTCCCTGCAGGCTCCTGTGTATCCCCACGGCCAAACCTCCTTTCACTTGACCTGTCTTCATTGAAGACCAGGAGCCTAGGGATTGACCGAGGACAAGAACATTCTGGTTTGAAAGAGGGGTCATGCTGTCTCGCAGGCAGAATAAAGCCCCCTCTTCCCATGTTAACATCTTAATCTCAGGAGTCGGTGACCATGCTAAAGTACCTGGCAAAAAGAAATAAGGTAATAGATGGGGGTGATTAAGGTTGCTAATCAGCTGACCTTGCACCAGAGTTTATCCAGGTGAGCCCAAGGTACTCACGAGGGTCCTTAAGTGTGTAGGGGGAGGTAGAAGGATAGAAGTGAGAGACATACTACATGGTAAGAACTTGACCCACTGCTGCTGGCTTTGAAGATGGAGGAAGGGACCATGAGCCAGGACACATAGACAGACTCTAGAAGCAGGAAAAGGGCAAGAAAACAACTGTCTTCTAGATCCTCCAGATAGGACCCAGCCCTGCAAACACCTTGATTCCAGCCCATTGAGACCCATCTCAGACTTCTCACTTCCCAGACTGCAGAATAACTAATTTGTACAGTTAATTTGTACTGAGCCCCTCAGCCTGTTGCATACAGCAGGACTAAGAAAGTAATACAGCCTATGTGGGAATGCTGCACAGCCACTGGAATGTTGTGCACACGTCATCAGCCTCTCCACAGGCTCCACCGCCAGGCCACCCTTCCCGAAGGGAACATGGGTGGGCTTGCACTGCCTCCTTTCTGACACATCCGGACTAGTGGTCTCTCCGAGAAGACCTCAGGTAAATGAATGACTGCTCAGATCCAAAGAGTGGACTCAAGAATCAGAGAATTCGGGCAGAGACCTAGACCAGGACATTAAAAGTTGTACCATGAGTTACTGTCTTATCAGGTCTTCATCTGTCACCCACTGATCTTTTAACCCCAGGAGGGTTTAGGGGCCTCCTGAGACACAATCGCGTGTGCAACAGATGATATCTGGAGGCCAATGTGCATGTAAGATTGCAAGGAAAATTCAACCCTACTTTACATGCATAAGTACATAGCTTGTTTTTTTTTTAAATTTTCTGTGCTGCCAACTATTAAGCAGCTTCTTGAGAGCAGGGTCTTTATTTAATTTTTTTTTGATGAATGGATAACCCTGGCACATTCTAGGTGTGCAATGTTCGGTCTTCAATTTGGAATGGATTTTGCCCTTGGGGGGGGGGGGCTCACTCCCTCCCACGAAAAACCCTCGAGCCTCTCCACCCTAACTAAGCCCAGCCAACCCCAGCTCGGACTTGCCCCTGCTCCAAACACCCTCTGTCCTGGAATCTCACCCCACTGAGAGTACAAGAGGGCGTTCAACTCATGCGTCTTCCCCGGACGGAGAGCACCGTGTCCTGCTGGATGAGCAGACATTCTGAGTCAGGTTGTCCACATCCCAGAAAAATGAAAGGCTTTTCGTTTTCTCCATGGACATGTATCCAAGTCTGATAGTTGAGGTGAGAGATGTATAAAGTCTGTGCCTGTGACCCTCAAACGGGGAGTGAAAGTGGGAACTTCTCTCTATTAGGAGCTTTGTTAATCGTCAAGTGGTCCAGTTTATCTGCGAAGCGCGGAATCCCCATCTCGTTTGGAGATTCCCGCCTCTCCTGCCTCTCAGGCAGCGGCTCAGCGTCGGGGAAGCTCCGCGGCTCCGATCCAAGCAGGCCCAAGCCCTTTACGTGCACCATCTGAGAGCCCAGGCGCTTTGCAACCCTCCTGTCTGTCCTACCGGCTTCTTAACTTTGCCCCTTGCCAGTGCCGGACCCTCGCCCTGCCTTCAGCCCCGTCGCCTCAGAGTCCTCTCAGCCAGCTGCAAAGAGTTAAGACCCGGCTAAGAAAACGCTTCTGGATGCTCCAAGTCCCAGGCCCCCGCTCGCCGCTCCTGATTGGCTGAGCTCCTGTCAGTAGTAAAAAAGTATCAGATAGCAAACTTCGGACCTTGATAAAGGCGTGGTGTTAATACTCCGCAAACGCTAGCAGCCTGTGACATCAGCCAAGAACGCCTGGGATGCCGCTGCTCCGGGCCAGATGCAGGAGGAGGAGGGACCTGGCGGCTAAGAGTTAACCAGCCCTGCACAGCGAGGGGGGAGACACCAGTTTTCTGGGGACACTGGTTTCGGTCACAGACTGCCACTCTACTCCTACCCAGGGGAGCTCCCGGAGAGTTGGATGAATTCTGGGTTGTTAGCTGCTGTCAGCTGGGCTCCCGGGAGCCCGTTCCTGGTGGAAAGCAGGGGGCGTCTGGCCAAGGGACCAGCGGCTCGCTGAGACTCAACATGACCCTCCTGGGGGCTGAGCACTCTTTGCTGATTAGAAGCAAGTTCAGATCAGGTAGGGCTGAGGCATTTAGCATTCCTTCCTAAACTTTCCTCTTCTGCACTTCTCAACTCTAGACTGCTTTCCAATAAATGTCTCAAAGCCCGCCGTGGCTGCTTCAACCTTGCTCCCCAAGAGCACATTTTGGAAGTGAAAATTTTATTTGACTTCGGGGACCTTTCCTGTCTTCCGTTTTTAAGTCCTTTGAGTGGTTGAATGTGGTTTTGTTTGTGAAAAGGCCAATCCTTTCATTTTATTTTTTTCTCTGTATTTGGGAATAAAAAATTTGGAGATTCACCCGAAAGGAACAAATTTGAAAATGAACAAATAAGGGATTTCAAGATTATGAGCTGCATAATATTAGTTATAATTGCTGAGAAGATGAACCTGATGCTGTGTATCAGATTACAGTGGTCACTTAAAATGTAGCTAATCCAAACAATGCATTTCCCAAAAAAAGTCACTTGGGGGAAGTAAAAATAGCAAATTTGGAGCACAACAAGTATTTAAAATGACATCACTGTAGGAAAAAAAGTCCAGGGCCACAGATATTTTTTCCCAAACCATCTGATATTTATAAATGGATAATTTTCCCTCAAATTTCTGTGTCAGTAGTGCATAGAGAAACTTCTCAAAGGACGCTGAGTAAAGGTGAGTGAGAGAGATGGGAATGCTGAGTGCTGCTCATGAAGGGTTGTTATAGGCACCCGTGGCAGTTTTGAATGTGTCGGTTCCACATTTAGACAGAGACACTTGCCTTCTTAAATTCCTTCTCCATAACTCTGTGTATAATATTGGTTTTATAAAAGCAGTAACAAGCCACTCAATAAATGGCAGAACTTTTACTTAGAAGATGAATTCATTTGTGAGAACTCCAATGTGAACATTCCATAGAGCAGGTGCTGGAAGGATGCTGGCCTCGTTTGCCAAGTGTTCATCCTCCTTCTAATAGGACCACTCAGTGTTTCACTTAGGATGGATGTTTCAAGAATGAGAAAAGTGGATGCTGGAAAGTAAGGATTATTTGTGATTGCCTTAGATGTTTCTGGTTTTGAGATGTGTGTGGTTCCATTGGAGATTTCCTTAGTCTCTGTACTGTTGGAACAAGATGAAAACTTGAGTGTAGCCAGCCATAATACTCAGGGCCCTGGCACTCCGGGGCCCATCTGCCAGCCATTGGGTTCAGCGCTCGTTAGTTACATCCTTCCTCTCCTTCCCTTGGTGAGGTGAGGTAGTTGGTCTGTTAATCCACTGGAGACTTGGTCACTGCTTTGTAATTTGCTCAAAACCGCAAGGCAACACTGCCACCTTTCTGAAGAAAAGAGGATGCAGGTTTGTTTTGCAAAAAGCTTCATTCACTTCAAAGGCACCCTTGCCAGTTTGTGTGGGGGGCAGGGGAGGGGCTGGTTTGTCTCTCAAAGGATTTGGTGAGGTCCTGGATGGAATTGCAAGGACAGGTTTATCAAAGAAAGCCTTCCCTCTGGGATGCAGCCCAGAGGGAAGATGGTGGCTCCCAATTCCTGCCTCCGTGGACTGGAGTTGTTCTGGGGTCTCCCAGGCAGACTCTGGAGCTTCTAAGAATTCCAATTGCTGCCTCTTTCCCCCCCCCTTAAAGCTTGGACAGGCTCTGGTGCCACAGGAAGGATAGTGTCAGGGAACAAGGTGTCAAAACAAACTTGGACATGCTCAGTCCTCCACCTCTGATAAGCAGGGAAGCTAGGTCTGGAAACGGTCTGGAAAGGGACTGAGCGGATTGATCATCCGTGATGCAAGGGGTTGATTATCTGAAAGGCAGAGAAGAACAGCAAGCAGAATGTAAAACTAAGGAGACATAATATCAAGGACAGTGATTATTCATTCCGGGTGTAGTTACAACTACAGCTGCACTGATGTGGAAGCCTGGCTGGCAGTGCGTTTAGACAGGGGCCCGCTTCTTCTGGAAAGGACTTGGTTGATTTGGTAACTAACAGTGGATTAGAAAGGCTTCTTCCCTGTTTTGATTTTTCCCTCACTCTCTCTTTTCGTTGTTTCTTCTTTTCTCTCATGGGCTCCTTACAATGTAAACTCATAAAATTCTATCTGACTGCTAATGTTTGCTTTGACAGTAGACCATGGTGTTTCATATTTCATTAAAAATATTTCAAAAAAATTAATGAAACTAAATTGCTCTCTGATCATAGTAGATTCCTTGTGATATGGGGCTTGTTTATTAGTGAGCAGATAACTGCTTTGACTCTGAAGGTGACAAAAATGGCAACGGTGTCCAGCCAGCTTCCTGTGAGCTATATTCAAGTGACCTTGTGATAAAGGAAGATGCCATGCCACAGGAGCAGTGGCCTGTGCCAGTGTCCGTGTGTGAACATGTTTGATGCTATAAACGAATCTTATCTGAGAGGCCAGCAGTTTCATGGCTGAGTGTGTGGGTCTAGAACAACACTAGCTGGGATTTTAGTGGGCGTCTCCATCTGTTAGCCACAGAGCCTGGAACCTTAGATAAGCGACAGAATTCTCTCTGCCTCCAGGTGCCCCGTTTGACTAATGGGAATGATCAGAGGGTTGTTGTGAGGATTAAATGTGATCGTGCAAGTAGTCCACGAAAGAAACTGCCTGGCACTTAGTAATCCCTCAAAAAATATTGTTCGACTATTAATATTACTAAGAAGCCAGATTCTATAGTGGTCACTTTCTCTCTGAGTCTTCATTATTTCATGTATAAATGCCCAGGTTGGACTAGATGATTTTTCAGACCCTTCGGTAACATTTTGTGGTTCTCTGAAAACACAAAAAGATTGGGCACAGGCAAAACTGAGACCAGGCTGTGAGGCAGTTGGGCAGATAAGGTAGGCAGCTCATACAGATGCAATGAATGGTGTTACTTTTAAACTAAGTACATTTTTACAGTTTTTAATTTCACTGTTGTTTGGTCAACATCAATAATCAGTATCACTGTCAACAATCTTCCTCAATACCATGATCTTGTGTCAGCGAAACACAAGGATTTATAGTGTGTACACACACACCATGCACGAACAATCAAAATGAGAGGGGTGGGGGGCACTGATGGATTTTGCTTCTAAGGAACTATTGTGTTTCATTTGTTTCTTTCTTTTTTTCTCCTTTTCCCATTCAAACAGCTCAGCACTCTGGCACTTGCCAGGATGTGGTGTCTATCCCCCACAAATTTGGGGTTGTCAAATTTAGGAAAAGAAAATACAGGAAGCCCAGTTAAACTTGAATTTCAGATAAACAATTATTATTTTAGCATGCTGTAATATTGAGGGTGAGTTTTTATCTGACACCCAAATTGAACTAGGCATTTTGTGCTTCATCTGGCAACCCTGCCTCCAATCTGAGAGGTCTTTGCTCAACACTCTCTGCTGCCCCGTCCAGGATCCATCACACTCTCAAAATGTGGGCGCCCAAAGACTCCCAAAATGCAAACCTTAATTCTCAGGCATGAAAGTATAGATTTGGAAGGAGAAGGGCATGCCATGAGCATGAACTCTGGGTCTCTGGGGGTGGAGCCAGCATATGGATTAGGGAAAACTATGACAACTTCCTTTTTACCTTTCTGGGGAAGGGGAAGAGGAAGATGAGTTCAGCAGACAGGCTCTCAGGTGCAGGGGCTTCCAGACTGGGGGCTGCAGCTGAAAGAAGCCAAGAGCCGTGCAGAGCAGGCATGAAGAGGCAGTGGCTGAGCTCAGCTCAGCATTGGGTGGTAGAGCACACCAGCACCACATTCTTTGACATCTGGGGACGGGCCTCCCGTGTCTGTGATTGCTGTGTGTCCTCCCAAGGAAAGCAAGGGACATCTCAGGATGCTGTACACCATCCTCTTTCCGTGGGTTCTCTGTTCCTCCAGCCTTCAGATCAAATAGCAGGACAACCGAGTTCTGCTTTAAGCTAGATCCCTAACATCTCTGAGACTGAATGTTTCTTCAGTGAGTCAAGGAGACTGGACTATGAGGTTGGTCCAGAGGTTTTTACCATATGGACACTATTGAAGAAAATTCCACCAGGATCTCAAGAGAAGTTCAGGCTCTGGCCTAACCTTCATTATTACTTCATTTTATAACCTAGGACAAATATGTTAACCCAGTGCCTTGTCATGTCTATTATGGAAAAGACACTCATCTAGGTTAAATTATTTGTCCTATAAAACTGTATAAAGATATACAGGTATAAATCGAAGGTATAAATATATAGATAAACATTTTAATCTAATTTAATTGACCTCTTTATGCCTCACTTTTTTATCTACAACATAGAGGATTTTGACTGGTTTATCACTGAAGTTGCTTCCAGCCCTAACATTTGGTATTTTTCCAAATGAATGGCCCTAAGTATTTTTGTAAAGTTTTAAAGACTATAAGCTTTATAAAAGCATTCCTGCAATGTCTCTGAACTGTTATAGTCTCAGGGAACTTAACATATGCTAGATGCACAATAAATATTTCTTAAAAGAATGAATGAATAATTCACACCTACCATTTTCATACTTAACACAGTAGCATTCAAAAAATTATTTTAATTGTTTCATATGTTCAGTCTTCTTTTCAAAATTTCTTTGACAACTTTTGGGTGTGAAGCCTACTGAAGCACAAATAACTTGTCCCCAATTCCATCTTGCTATTGAAATGACCAGTAGAATATTTTTAAAGTTGGGAAAACGTGTTCCATTAAAAACTTCCAGGAATTTCTACTAGACATAATCAGAACAAGAAGAATTTAAGGGCAAACGGTCCCTCTGCACTTTTGTACAAACTGTCCACGGCTCATTGTCTCCTTCCTTCCTCTGCTGACAACCACTAATTCCCTTCGAGATGATGGCATTAGTTTCCTACTTCTGCTATAGCAAGTTACTACAAAGTAGTGGCTTAGAGCAGCATGAGTGTATTATTATCTTATAGTTACTGAGGTCAGGAGTTTAAAACAAATCTCACTGGTTAAGGTGTTGGCAGGGCTATGTTCCTCCTGGGGACTCTAAAGGGAATGCTTTTCTTGTCCTTTCCAGA